CACAGATTTACGGGCGAAACTTGAAATTTTTAAAATATATTATTTAGGTATTCAAGAATCAATGGTTAAAATAAACCAGCAGAATTTTAGATAAACCAAAAGTTATCATTAAAAGAATGTTTATGAATATTATTAAAATATATATTAGGAATATTAGGAAAAAATTTTGGCAAAATTTTATGAACTGTTTAAAGAATTATTTTTTGTTTTATTTATTTAAACAACAAATTTGATCATTAAAAATTATATTGTTCATTTTTTTATAAATAGTCTTTAAAATTTTGTGAAGAAATACTCATTTTATTAGAATTTAAAAAGTTAGTACTAGTAAAAGTTGCCCAATAATGATGCAATCTTGATAAAATTTAATATGCAGTAAATCTAAATGAATATTAAGCTGTCTGTAGAATTTGAGTATATATTATTATGTAGAATTTTCAACCAAAGCCAATCAATTTAATTATAGCGAAGAGATAAAATTGAATAAATGATCGACAAATGATCATCAAAATTGTGATAAAATAGGGATGTCCGCTATGCTACATGAACCCATGTCTGAAATATAGTTTGAAGTAGCCCAATAATAAGTATCCTTAAATAATATATTTCCCGTATGAAGATCACGATGAACCATCCGTTTTTGATGGATTTCATTAAGGCCATTAATAATATTATTTAACACTTTTAATTTGTTTGGCCAATTAAAGTTTTTACAATTATTATTTAGCCAATTGTTAAAATTTCCACCTCTTGCATATTGAAGAACCATAACATAATCTTTTGTATTTGGATTTTGAGATATACCATATATTTTTAGAATTTCACCAGAATTATCAAAGTTATTAAAATCATTAATTGAATATGCTTTAACCTAAAGAAAGAAAACCTGTTAATTATAATATTTAAGAAAATTATTCAAATAATTAAATATTTTATATACCTCATTTAAAAATTTATTAGAAATATTTTGAGAATTATTTAAACATTTTAAAGCCACTATTTTGTTTAAATCCCTTTTGTATTCTTTTTTATCCCAATATAATAGGCCATTCCTCCATTTTGCTGAATATACTTTAGCAAAACCACCTTTGCCTATTTCTTTAATGTCATTAAATTGATAATATGGTATCCATTCAAATATTATGTCTTTATAGTCATTGATTTTTAGTTGCATTTCTTGAATTAATTTATCAATTTGTTCACTATTACTAGTCCAGCTTGCAAAGTTTTCTTTCAAATAATTCTTTTGACATACTTTACACCATTTATACTCCATATTTGCATATTTATTACCACATTTATCACAAAAAATTTTAAAATATTTATCTTGATTAAGGACAATAATGTAATTGTTCTTTGTACTAGGATTCTGTGATATTCCGTATATTTGAAATTTATTATAATATGCTATAATCTATTAAAAAGTGTTAATATAATAAAAAATAATCCAAATTAAAAATAAAATTTACATACCTTATTTAGTAATTCATTAGTAATATTTTGAAAACAAAATAAATATTTTATAATAACTGCTTTATTTGCTGAATTTCTAATATTCTCATTTTTAGAATGATAGTCATATAATAATGGACCATCCTTCCATCTTGCTGAATGTGTTGTATTACTTAATTCTTTAATATCATTAAACTGATTATATGGTATCCATTCAAATATTGTATCATCATAATCATTAATTTTTAATTGCATTTTTTGAATTAATTTATCAATTTGCTTATTTTTACTTGTCCAATTTGTGAAGTTGTTTTTTAAATAACTTTTTTGACATAACTTACACCATTCATATTCTGCATTTACATATTTATTAGCACATTTATTGCAAACAATTTTAAAATATTGATCTTGATTAAGGACTATAATGTAATCTTTTGTACTAGAATTTTGTGATATCCCGTAGATTTGAAATTCTTTATAATGCGCTACAATCTATTAAAAAAAAATGTAAATACAATAAAATTAAGTGAAATTAAGTTTAAAAAATTTTACATACTTTATTTAAAAATCCATCAGTAATATTTTGTGAATCAGCAAGTAAATTTTTTAAAATAACTGATTTATTTTCTGAATTTCTTATGTACTCACTTTTGTATGTGTGGTCATACATTAAAGGACCATCTTTCCATATTGCTGAATATGTTTTGTTGCTTAGTAATTCTTCAGTATTATTAAACTGATGGTATGGTATCCATTCAAATATTACATCCTTACAATCATTAATACCTAATTGTATTTTTTGAATTAGATTATCAATTTGTTCATTTCCACTGGTCCAGTTTGTGAAATTTTCTTTTAACCAATCTATTTGACATGGTCTACAGCATTTATAATCTGCATTTGTTAAATACTTTTCACATCTTATACAGCAATTTTCCAAGTATTTATATTCATCAAACACTATAATGTAATCCTTTGTATTAGGAATTTGTGATATACCATATAATTTAACTTTATTATAATATATTATAATCTATTAAAAATGAATGTCAGTATATTATAATATACTTGAATTAAATTCATAAAAAAATTTACATACCTCATTTAGAAATTCATCAGAAATATTTTGTGAATCAACTAAATATTTCAAAATAACTGCTTTATTTGTGGAATTTCTTGTATACTCATTTTTAAAGTAACAATTATATAATAATGGACCATTCTTCCATCTTGCCGAATATGCTGTATGACTTAATTCTTTAATATCATTAAACTGATAATATGGTATCCATTCAAATATTAAATCTTTGTGATCACTAATTCCCAACTGCATTTTTTTAATTAGATTATCAATTTGTTCATTTTCGCTAGTCCATTTTGTGAAATTTTCTTTTAACCAACTTATTTCACATGGTTTACACCATTTATACCTCATATTTGTAAAATATTTTTCACATCTTACACAGCAATTCTCCAAATATTGGTCCTTATTAAAACACTAAAAGATTTGTTGGTTGCCGATCGTACTAAAATAGAAAAGCTTGATTTGAAATGTATTTATATAATCAGCAAATCAATACCAAAGATGGGGGATCAGCATCTTAAAATGGAAATCACTCAAAAACTAATCTTATGTTAACGTTAAGTTAACGTTAACCTATCATGACATGTCAATCATTTCAAGTCATAACAATAACGTGACGCGCCACCCACCCACCCATAGGGTGATATTGCACTTATATAGAATGATCTTTCTTGCTTAAAAATTATGGGATAAAATTTTTAGCAAATCATGTGAAAACTTAATAATTTTTTTGTTAGCCAAAAATGATCAACAACCGGATGACAAATTTTAATATTATGTAAATAAACAATTTGTTTGTATTACTTATTTAAATATAGATACATTTTTTTTTTTATTTT